GATACGCATTAATACTGTGGAGACAATTATTGGAAGTTCATTTTCTGGGCACATCTTAGAGACCTTTTCATAGACATAGGAAACTCTTGTGTAGATTTAGATTTTAGGAAACCCCCTACCTCATGTAACTTTTCCTATGGAACTTTCAGTATCGGAATGGTTTGTTAAAAATATTTTGGTGGATGATACCAGAAAGGTCAAAGCTTAGCTGTGTGTGTGGAAGGGGTTTGTTTTTGGAATTTCTTTTTTTTTTTTCTGATGTGTAAAACTGTTCAAGAGTTTGGCTTTTAGGACTCTTATAGCTGGCTAAGAAATGACAGGCTTCTTACAGCTGGGCTGTTTGTAAAAAAATGACTACACTTCCCAAAGCCAATTATACTTTTAAAAGTACGGTCAACTCCTCCTCCTCGCCTAACTGGAAATGGGAAATAATGTCGCTAAAGCCTTCACCACATGCTGAAACTGGGGTGGAGCAGGGAAATGCTGCTGGTCACATAACAAGGGACCAGGCAAGGTAGACAGCCGCAAAGTCATTTCTTTTGTTACTGGACGGAAGAGAACTTTCAAGCCCCTAATTTAGCAATGTACGTAATCATTCCAAGATCATTTAAGAGACATAGAAAATCGAGTATTTTTGAAAACTGAACAAAACATAACCCAGTAGGACTGACGGCTCTTTTCTATGTAGGTTCACGTTATACCTAAGTGATGTTGCCTCATTTTTTTTTGAGTAAACTTTTTATTTTCAAAGAATTTTCGGTTGACAAAAAAGTTGTGAAGATTGTTGCCTTGTTTTTTTATGAAAAGTATTAGTATTGCGGGGATTATGTACAAGTTTAGCTCTTTCCAAGCACGCTGTCAAGAGGCAGAAAGTATCCGTCTGAGGAGGTGGGGGGGTGACGCAGTTTGCTGAGTGTTATCTGGGGCTCCTGTCTCCCTGGATGGAGAGGGACCCCATGAGAAAGTCAGGTTAGAAAATACAATAACAATGTATTTAAACAGCAGGTTGTGTAAAAATAAAGAAATAGCTGGTTTAAGTCAAAGGATGAGCTTTGCACGGGTTGTTTTTCTATAGGTGACCTTTCTCCCGGCCCGTTTGTATCGATGCACACGGTCAGTGTTAGCTGACACAGTGGTGCTGCATCTCCTTGGTGTCACCTTTGAGATTCTGACAAAAACTGGGGCAAAATGTGCCTGGCCTCCTTCCCACCCTGTGGTCTCCCCTTCTGAGCCCAGGGAGGATCCACTCACCTCCAAAGCCAGCTTCGTGCCCACATGCCGTGCCTTAGTAATTCTCTTCTGTGGCCTTGAACCCTAAGTAGCCAATTTTCTCTGTTAGGTTTTATTTCAAAATGGGCTTAAGTTGTAAGAGTTGGAAGATAAGGAGGGAGAATGGGAGGATAAAACCCCTCTTGGAAATCAGTCACCGAAATCACTTCTTTGAGGTCTTAGTAGATGGAAGTGGCTGCCTCTTCCTGCCCCTCTCACCCCACCTGCCTCCACCCCAAGTGCTAATCACATTCAGGCCAAAGGCAGGAAGGCTACCTGGCTGCAGCTCAGAGGACATTTTGTTTTATTTACAGATGAGCTGTTAACCCTTGAAACTTGGACTCATCTGGAAGCTATGACAGAAGGAAGGCCTACCCAGTTGCGGCAGCTCCAGCGAGCCCTGCAGTAGAACTTGCCTTAATTAGCTGTGTCCCTGGGAACACAGGCCCGGAGGAGGGGTCCCCCAGCGTCCTCCCAGGCCCTGCCCCCAGCCTGCACACCAGAAGGGACTCCTTCAGAACATACAAGGCCCAGGGCCTGGCCGCAGAGAGGACTCAGCTCTGGGCTCTCTCGGAACGTAGCTGCTGCCCTTTTCCAAGTGGAGCTCCCAGCAACTATCTCATACCCTGGTTTGTCTTCCCAAATAATGATTGACCTTTTGGAAGCAGTGAATTTGAACAGATATATAGACTCTTATTCCAACAATATTGCAATTGCTCAAAATCTTTTAAGAGTTTCTCTTTTGGAATTGCCTTTAAGAATTCGTTTATAACTCATGTATTCACACACACACACACACACACACACCCCCCTTGGTAGACACATCAAAGGAGTTTTGTGACTTTATATCAGAACCTTGCTCTTTAAACAGGAAATAGCATTTCCCTGTTTAGTCACTCACCTTATTCATCAGACTTGGCTCAGATGCCTTTCCATTCCGTCCCAAACTCAGATTCTCCCTTGAGGAGGAAATTTCTCCACCACCACTGAGGATTTTCAAAAGAATGTGCCACAGACTCCCATGACACTTCTAGAACAGGCGTTCTTAAAGGGTTTTTAAGCAGGGCAGTGTAATTGGAATAGACGTGTGAGTTCCAAGGGTGTCGTTTAAGAAGGGGACAAAATACATTTGGATGTGTGAAAGTTCCAGGTTGGTGAAATTTCCAGTTGTGAAACATCATTGCCCCCAAACCTGTAGTAACCTACCCGACACTGTAGTATCTGCCTGAACCTTGCTCCAGGGGCATTGGTGAACTAGCAAACATTATCAAGTGAATATTTGTTTGAATTTCAAGGAAGTTAGGTAGGGCAGGCTCCTAAGACACAAATCAAAGGGCTGGTTGTAAGGGCATGTTGAAATGCCCAGGGTGAGAGAACCTGGCAATTGTCATGACTTCTACCAAACTGTTCTACTTGAATCTAAAACTTTTCTCCCATCATATAGTTGTGTAGACAACAATGATGAATGAAAAGATGTTAGCCCTGAACCATGTTCTGAGAACATATTTCTGGTGACAGAAAGCCCTAATCTGCATGAAACACGCTTCTTTGTTTCAATTCATCATATATATGTGTGTGTTTATATACACATATGAGTCCCCGATGTCCACCCTTTCTTCTAGAAACAAGAACATTAGAAGAGGGTCTGGCAGGAGGGAGAGTAGAGTACTCCCTGATAGGCCTGAGCATGTTGCATTGATAAATCAAGTTCCCAGTGCAATTTGGAGGGAGAGAATCTAATAGTTGACATTTGAAAGATGGCATCAACGGAGTCATCACAGGAAAAGCCAGAGCACTCTGGACTTGGATTTCCTTATACATAAGTTGCTGGTTAGCACTGTTTTATCATGCATTAACGTTCGTGGGAATTAATTGTTCCAGTGTTAATCAAGCCCCGCTGTAGGATTCTCTTTATGGAAGGAGGAGAAAGTACCCCAGGGAAGGGCCTGGCATGAATGTTCTGTGCTCATGAGAGGAGTCACTCACTGTGGAAGGGAGCCATGGACTTGGGCAGGGTGGGTGAAGAGGGATGTGAGTAGATTGGGCTAGCTGAGGTGAGGCTGCGGGGACCTTTGGAGGCATGTGATGTGGGGTCAACCTCTCCTGGCAGGCCAGACTGTCACCCTGGGGTACCAGGATGCTCTCTTCAGCACAGGGAACTGTGCTGGGAGCAGGAGGCCTAGTCTAGCCTCCTCCAGCTGTGTGACCTTGGATAGGACTCTTGCTATCTCTGGGTGTCATTTGCAAAATGAGGTGTTTGAATTAGCTCTGGAATTCTCTAGTTGGGGTCCTTGACCGGAGATCCAGGGGATCTTTCCAGGCCTCTGTGACAAATCTCAATATGTTAAAGTGATCGCTGGAAGTATATCCATATTCTGCTTGCTAAGAACACCCTGGCTAAGCAAATCTGACATTTTCTTGCTTTGGGCTGGAGGTGGAGCAGCTTGCTGTGCTCACAAATGCTGTTTCATGGTACCTCAAAGCTCTGACTGGCAGTTACACTTCCCTTTGATAAATAAAAATGGGGGAAAATAATTTATTATTATTTAATAAATATTTTAAAAATAACTAGCATTTATTCATAACCTGGCTTATTGTTTATTGTTGGCCCTTAGTAAATGATAGTCATTATAACTATTAATATTATAATAGCTAATCTGGTTGGCCAAAGCTTTTGAAATGTGGGCCATAGCAAGAACATTCCATCTTTTGTGGGGAAGTGGTTAGGGGCTCTGGGCGGGGCTGGTGTGCAAGCCCTTGCAGAAAATAATAGTCTTGGGCTTCTCTGCTGCAGATTCCTAGTGCCACCAGGCAGGGTTGGCACGAGGGTTCATGGCAGCTCCTGGGCATGGAACCTGGAAGCAGAGTCTCTGGCCCTCCTTTCATCTATGGCCAGTCACTTTCTTTGGCTCTTTCTTACCCTGGAGCTGCCTTGGGCTACAAATGGCCTGGCCGTGTGGCCCTGGGGGGCAGAGTTCTGGGATTGCCTTAGAAAAGCCTGGAGATCTAACTGCCTGCCTGATCACTGACTGGGGGTTGCATACTTTGAAGGGGACAGCGATGGGGTTATGGAGAGACCCTTAACTTAGAATAGACAGTGAGTTGCATGTGTAGTTCAGGGAGAGGTGATTCTGTTTGGAAAACAATTGTTTGATTGCCTTTTTTGAATTTTATGCCATACATCATTATAAAACTACCATTTATTTATTGCTTCCTATTTTCCTAACACTCTCCTGGGCTGTATATATATTATCTCATGGATTCCTTATGTTAGTCCTTTAGAATGCACCAGCATTTCCATTTTATAATTTCAGACACTGATGCCCAGAGAGGTTAAGTAACTTTCTAAATATTACACAGCAGGAGAGTTGCAGAGCTGGAATTTAAAGGCTATACTCTTTCCAAATATTAAAAATTTACTTCCGTATGATTCAACATATTACAGTATGAAGAGGGCAAATGTAACAAACTGCTGAAGATCAATAGAGTAAATGGTAATCCAGATGGGCTTCTTGGAGGAAGAGAGTTTTAAGTTGGCTTTTGAGGGAGAAAAGAGAGAGGGAGCAGGAATGGAGGCAGAGGGTGGGGACTGATCCTGGGTGGCATGTGTAAAGGTAAGTGGGGAACTGGGGTGGTGACAGCAAGCAGAGCCCCTGTGGGAGGTCAGGCTGGAAGTGATGTGATCATGGTTCCTGCTTTGGGGACAAGTGCCAGGTGACAGGTGTGGGCTTCTATTTCTTTGCCACACCTTTGGCCTTGCTCCTGTCTTTGGCTGCCACAGTCCTCTCTGCCATCAGCAGCAGGGGCTGCTGCAGCTCTCCTGCTCTGTAGGTGGCAAAAAGGACCCAAGAGAAACTGGCGAAGGGTTGGCTTCCTTCCCTCCCTCCCTCACTGTCCTGGGTCTTTTGTTCCTTTCTCTCTCCCTCCTTTTCTCCCTCCTCCTTCCTTCCCAATATTTGATTTTTAAAACTTGAATTCAAGCAATAATTAATATTTAATTTTAAAAATCACCCATAGCATAGCTCCACCTCCCTGCTGTGGAGCCATTCTGGTCCACTTTTCCATAACCCCTTCTGCTCCTGCCCATCTGCACACATCATGTTTACACAGTTGGGGATACAGTCCTAGGTCTCTTTGTGTCTCCAGAGACCTTGATCTCAGAACATTTCTTGTCTGCATTGCCTTCGTGATCACAAAATCATGAGTGGCCACCTACATCCCACTGGGCTGGGGTGCCCTGAGGGGCAGACGCCTCCCACCACAGCTACATTACTTTCTTAGCTGCTTCTTTCTGGCAGCTCTCTTATAGCTGACGCTGTCACTGAGCATCACAGCAGGTGGGCAGGACTTGAGGACTGTGGGAATAGAATGCCAGGGGTTGAGGCTGCCTGGGATGAGGGGGTAGAGTGTAAGCCAGGGATAAGCTGACTGACAAGATGCCTCTGGGGACTGAGGACCCATGAGGGTGGGCTGCAGGGTATAGATCTAAGTCCTGTTGCTGACCTTGGGAAATTCTCTTAAACTCTCTGGGCCTTAGAGTCTTCAGGCTAAAGTGGGACTATTAATATTTATTTCTTGAAACTATGATGAGGATTAAATGAGATAATATTTGCAAAGTGTCTGGCATTCACAAACATTAGTTCCCTCTCCCTCTCTCCTTTCAGACAGTCTTGAGCTGCTTGGAGAGGCTGATGATGAATAGAAGCATCTCTGTATCAGGAGGCCTCGGCCATGAGCAGAGCAAAATGATGGCCAATCCATACGTTCAACAGATGCTTAGGGAACAACTGTTCCAGAATATAGCCCTGAACAAGACAGGCAAAACCCTGGAATCACAGAGCTTACAGTCTGGTCTGGAGACGACCAATAAACAGGTAAATACAAAGATAGGAATCTCCCTTATTGGTGAGTACTACGAAGGGGCAACAGATATTTAAATCAGAGTCAGTGGTGACAGCGGAATCTTATATGGAAGGCTCTGGAGAGGTATTTGGCAGGAAAGTAGGGCCAGAGAATTTGTGTCAAAGCAGTTGGGTGTTAATCTGGTAGTGGCTTTGGGGTAAACCATTATGGATTTTATGGAGGGCAGAAGCTAACGTGCATTTCCCCAAAATCCATCCCCTCTGGCCAGTACTTTTGAGGGGATCATGTTTGATCCAAATTCTGCAAAATGAGAAGTGGTAAGGCATATGAAGTTCTGGGGCAGGAGGTTAGTACTCAAGGGTCAGAGTGTTGCACCCATGAGGGGAAGCAGGGCAGAATTCAATTTTCAGTGCCAGGTAGTCCCTGAAGGGCGTGGAGCTGGGTTGGGTTGACTTGATCTGACTTGTGGTTTAAATATTTACACATTTTCCTTAGCACTGATTGGAAGAAACTTGCATATAATAGGGGAGAATATTTTAGAGTTTGTGCAGCAGAACGTGTTGTGATTAGTCATATCTGGGAATATCATGTAGGCTTTGTTTTATTGGTGAAATGGGTATTGAATTGATAGAAGATAAACCTTGATAGAACATCACCACCATGTTAAGGCCAACAAGAGACTTGGAGACATGGTTAAGAAGAAGGAAGAGATGCCCCAGTTGTGACATTTCTGTGATCATGAAGGAAACAGGAGAAGTGGGGTGAAGTCTGGAAAAAGCCAGGACAGAGGACAGTGGCTGAGGTGTGGAAGCAGGGATGTTGGTGGCCTTTAGGCCACCATTGGATGGCTCTCTTTCTTCTGCCTGATGTGGTTCCTCAGAGTCTATGACCTGTGTATCTGGGACCTCCCAGGACTTGTGGTGACATGTCTTCTCCCCTGGCTTTCATGAGTTTGGTTGGGTTGATTCTTTCAAGGGTCCTCCCATCCTTTGCTTTGTCATGAAGGGTGGGGCCTGCCCAGGAAGGGTGAGGTGCATGGGGACACCACACAGAACAGGAAGAAGTGCAGCTGGATGCTGTAGCTTCATTGTGACTCTCAGGGCCTGTGTAGGTTGTCAGCTCATGTGTGACGCACATTTAGACGTTTCCAACTATACCAGGGGTTCTCAACCTGTGGGTCGCAACCCCTTTGTAACAATGAAAATACATCGTGGCATTAGGAAGGTTGAGAACCACTGGCCTATACCTGTTTACCCCTGTGCAAACTCTCACCTTTATATCACACACATGAGCCTGGTGCACCAGACTGCGCAGTCCACAGATGCCTACATGTGTTTGCTAACGACCACATGAACTTGTGCATGCTACCTGCTGGGTTCACTTCCAAGGTACAGACACAGAGGAGGTAGGTGCAGAAGAGCCCTCATCAGCGGGGCCCTCTGAGCACGAGGCTAGACACACAGGCTATCAAACGTAAATTCTGTAATTACGTTTATCTATAAATCTGCTCCAGTGGACCAGATTTTGAAATGTCAACTTAGGACTCACTAAAATCAATTTACTGGGTTGCAAACAACTTTTACAAAAAGTAAAATAGGTATAATAAAATAAGATAGAAAATATCAGAGTATGCCTGCTCCATGAAGTAAAGGCTACGTATAATTCTGTGAGACTTTCCCCCCCAATATACAGTATAGTAGAACCTCTGAGTTGACTACCTGAGGGACTGCAAAAAACTGATCAGCATGCGGAGGTGGTCAACATAAGGAACTAGACCTACGGCGCTAATACGTGCCTGTGCTACATGTCCTATCTATGAAAGTTAGGCCAACTTAAGCAGCTGCTCAGTGTAGGCTGGGGGTCAGCAATGGAGGTTCTACTGTATATGTGTATCTGTGTACTGTATCACAGTGGTACTTATTTATTTTTAGCTATGGCTTGTAGCACGAAAATGTTTGGCCTAGTAGCGCCCTGATGAAAGGGGGACAGAGGACATAGGTTGGTGACTGAGGCCCTGTCTATCAAGGGGAGGGAAGCTGGCTAAGAGAGGGGTTAAGAGTTCCCTAATGGCCAGAATGGATAAGACCATGCCAGCGGGGTTGTAGCAGGGGCCTAGCCTCCTTCACAGTTTAGGGTTTGGGTGGCTGAAGCCAGGTACTTCTCTGTTCACAGCATGAAAGTTGGTGTGAAATTCGTTGTCAAATAATGAGTGTGAGGGCAGGTGGAGACTGCTGGTTGGAGATGGCCCTGGGGGGGCTGGGGAGAGCCTGGCCAGAGGACAGAGTTGGGGGCTGCTACACAGGCTGGGAGTGAGGGTAAGCCTGGGGGGTAGGGGGGATGAAGGAGAAGAGGGCCCAGGAGAGAGCCCTGGGAATCCCTGACAAGCAAAGGGCTTCTTGGAGGCAGAGAAGCTGTGATGGGGAGAGAGGAGCACAGTGTGTTGCAGGCAGGAGACTGCCTGGGAAGCTGGGAGCAGGCGCAGGTGCAAAGGGAGGAGGCAGGGCCTGCCCTGTTCAGTGCAGTGCTGAGCTGAGACCCAACTGGGGAGAAGATCAGGCTGGACCTGAAACATGAGATATCAGCTGGGAGCTGAACTTCAGGCTGCCGGCTGGGTGGGCTGATGAGCCGGCAGTACTTTCCTCAGTGTGGCTTTGAAATCCTCCAGAGCCATAAAGGGAGAGAGAGGCTGAGACAGGTGCAGAAAGAGCGTGTGTTTGAAGGAGGAAATGCACTGCTAAGAGCTGCCTGTCAGGAGCGCCCCTCACCCTTCATGGGCCTCGTTTCCTGACCTAAAAAATGAATGGGATATCACTAGAATAACCTCTCAGAACTCTGCCTTCTCTAAAATTTTTTGGGATCATTTGTGAAATGGGGATAATCATCCTTGCCCTGCTTCCTTAACAGGAGGACCCTCTGAGAACTATCCAGATCAAAGGTATTAAGACTATAGTATGTAGGTATTAATAATTAGATTCAAAGGTGCCCTGGGGGGCCTGAAAATTGCCAAATTTTCAGTTTCCTTTCTGGAAATTCCTTCTCCTTCCTCATACTTCCTGTCCCCTTCCTCACCCTATTCTCGAAATCATGGATGGGAGTTGGTAGAAATTGGGAGATAGGAGGAACAGAGAGGCAGAAATTTATTAATTGGCTGAGTAATCGTTGGGCCCTACTGGGTGCAGATCTTCTGTTGGACGCAATGCTGGGGTTACCATGGAGATTAGGCAGCAGGACTGGGCCTGAGGGCTCCCAGCTGCTGGTGGACAGCAGAACCATCCCTGGAGCTTTTAAAATCGAGATGCCACAGGCTGGATGCTAGCTTTGCCAAGCTCAAATCTTCAAAGAGACAACCCTGGCATGGGCCTGCTTAAAAAGTTCTATAGGGGATTTTCTTGCACACAGAATGATGAGAACCACTGAATGGGAATAGAGAATCAGTCCCATAAGATGGGACGATAAGCCCTACAGTGATAAGATGGTAGGTACTGGGACACAGCTAAAGGAATCCCAAAGCAGGAGCACCCAAGGCCCCAGGAGAGGGCGGGCATAGGGCAGACTGCCTGGAGGGTATGCTTCTCACACTGAGTTTTGGAAGATGCCAAGGCAAGAGGCTTTAACTGAATGAAGTGCTGCCTTAACTGTAACTGCATATAAAGTGCACAATCTGAGTGCCCCCTGGAGGCAAATCCACCAGGGACCCTGATGAAGTCCTGCTGGAAGTTTCTCTTTCAGAAGGACTCGGACCAACTTCCATCATGAGGCTGGATATGTTAGGTGGGAAACAAGTTTCAGTTAATAATGGATTCATGCCAACAAGGGAGGCAACCACGTCCATCGGTGTCAGGCTGGAGGGGGCTGTTTTTAGATTTTGGGAGGATCAGGCAAGAATAAACGGATTAATGATGACAATCATTTATCAGGCCTTCATTATGGGCAGGCCTATACTAGCTAGGGTTGCTAGCTATTGCAAAGCAGGGACTATTTCCTGCACTTTACTCAGCAGCTCAGAGAAATGGAGTGACTCGCCTAAAAGCACACAGCAAGGAAGCAGCAGGGTTAGGACCTGGGTCTCCCCAGGCATAACAGTGGCTGAGTGTGTGAGCTGAATCCCTGATCCATATTTTTGAGGGATCTTGCGCAAGTTCTTCAGACTCTCCGTGCCTCAGTCTCCGCACCTTTAAGAGGGCAAGGCTGATAGCAGCTCACTGGCAAGGCTGCTCTGAGATCTCAGTGAGTGGTGCCTGCATGTAGTGAGTGCCCCGTGGTGGCAGGGAAAAGGCCACTGCTGTGAATGGAGAAGCCTGCACCATCTGCAGTCAAGAGGTCTGAGGGACTTGGATTTGAAAAGGCTAAGACTGACCATCTAGCTCTGAAATTCTGAAATGGAGTCTTGACTTCTGCAAACACAGCTGGTATCCTGGGATGAACCTCCCAGAGGCAGGGGGATTATTCTTTTGATCTTCCTGAGCATCTACTTGCTCAGCCCCATGGTCAA